CAAGGCATTCTCCTGCCTCAGCCTCCAGAGTTGCTGGGATTACAGGCGCACGTCACCACACCAGCTAATTTTTATATTTTTAGTAGAGATGGGGTTTCGCCAGGTTGGCCAGGCTGGTTTTGAACTCCTGACCTCAAGTGATCCACCCGCCTCGGCCTCCCAAAGTGCTGGGATTACAGACGTGAGCCACCACACCCGGCCCTGTTTTGTGATTTTGTTAACAATAAAATGGCCCTGTAATAATCAAGTAAGAAAAACATTATTGTCTTAACATAGTCAGTACAACAATAATCAGAACCTCTTCTGGACCTTTTGCTCTATCTCCTGCCAGACTTTCCCTCAATGAACAGCCTTTCTTGCACATGTCTGTCATTATCATTTAGTGGAGTTTATGTTTCCAGCCCAGCATCCAGTTCACTGTTCACCTTCTTTTGGTAACAGCACCCCAGTTTTCCTCCTGGGAACAATTCCACTACCTTCCACAGGCCTTATGTTAGGGTGGGGCCGCACCCCCCCCAACAACCATGCCAGGAGTGGTCGCGTGACTCAGGCCTGAGCAACCAGGATGCTGTAGAAATTGCTTCTGAGACACACCAGGAGCCCACAAGCCTGTCCTGAGATTTGCCAAAACCACAGGAGACCAGCATCTCTTTGAACTGGCCTGAGCTTTTAGGAAGGATGCCTGGAGCGCTAGAAGCCTCCGCATGGAAGAAATCTCCCTGAAAATCTAGCCATCAATGACAAAGGGAGCCAAGAGAAGAGAAAGAACTGAATCCCTGACAGCATCATGAGCATCTGCTGCGTAGACCCTTTCCTCCAGGCTTTACAGGTTCCTGCGAGCCAAGAAATTTCTTGATTTTTGTTATTTTTAAAGAAGCCAATTTGATTTGGGTTTCTATAGCTTCCAGCTGAAAGAGTATGGGCAAATACACACAGTGTGCATAAAATATTGCATCCCGCTTTTTAAAAGATCTTATTTTTTGAGACAAGTTCTCACCCTGTTTCCCAGGCTAGAGTGCATTGGTGCTATCCTAGCTCTCTGCAGCCTCAACCTCCCAGGTCAAGTGATCCTCCCGCCTCAGCCTCCTAAGTAGCTGGGACTATGGGTGCATGGCACCACACCTGGTCCTGATTTTTTTATTTTCATATTTTAATTTTATTTATGTATCTATTTATTTATCGACGCAGGATCCCACTCCGTTACCCAGGCTGGAGCGCATTGGCACAATCTCAGTTCACTGCAACCTCTACCTCCCAGGCTCAAGTGATCCTCCCTCCCACCTCAGCCTCCAGAGTAGCTGGGACCACAGGTGCACACCACCATGTCCGGATAATTTTGTTGTTGTTGTTGTTGGAGAGATGAGGTTTCTTCATGTTACCCAGGTTGGTCTCCTTCCACCCACCTTGGCCTCCCAAAGTGCTGGGACTGCAGGCATGAACCACCATATCTGGCCTTATTTTTTGAGATGGGGTCACACTCTGTTGCCTAGGCTGGAGTGCAGTGGTGCAATTACAGCTCAGTGTAGCCTCGAACACCTGGACTCAAATAATCCTCCCGCCTTGGCCTCCCAAAGTGCTGGGACTACAAGTGTGAGCCACCATGCCCAACCTCCTGCTTTTTAAAGTAATATAACAATCTTTCTCCATGTTTCTGTGGAGGCTTTATACAGCCGCATAATATTCCATAAACTGAGTTTACCCTAAAATAAGAGTATTTAATTATTTAATTGGAGAGTCATTCTCCCCAAGAGAAAGGAGTTGAGTGCCAGGCACGGTGGCTCATGCTTGTAATCCCAGCCCTTTGGGAGGCTGACGCAGGTGGATCACTTGAGGTTAGGAGTTCAAGATCAGCCAACATGGCAAAACCCCGTCTCAACTAAAAATACAAAAATTAGCTGGGCGTGGTAGCAGGCACCTGTAATCCTAGCTACTTGGGGGGCTGAGGCAGGAGAATTGCTTGAACCTGGGAGGCGGAGGTTGCAGTGAGCTGAGATCCCGCCACCGCACTCCAGGCTGCAGCCTGGGGGACAAGAGCAAGACTTTGTCTCAAAAAAAAAAAAAAAAAAAAAATTAGCCAGGCATGCTGGCAAGTGTCTGTAGTCCCAGCTACTTGGGAGGCTGAAGCATGAACCTGGGAGGCGGAGGTTGCAGTGAGCCGAGATCATCCTACTGCACTCCAACCTGGATGACAGAGTGAGACTCTGTCTTAAAAGAAAAAAAATGGGACAGAGAGAGAGAGAGAGAGAAAGGAATTGAAAAGAAAGCAAAGACAAATTATTTGAGATGAATTTCCTCTTATGAGAACTACATGATAAAGGTAGAGAACTCTTTTTACAAGATGATGCCAAAGGCAAAGAAGGAAGCTCTTGCCCCTCCTAAAACTGAAGCCAAAGCAAAGGCTTTGAAAGCCAAGAAGGCAGAACTGAAAGGTGTCCACAGCCACAAAAAAAAAAGATCTGCACATCACCCACCTTCCAGCGGCCCAAGACACTGCGACTCTGGAGGCGGCCCAAATATTCCCGGAAGAGCGTCCCCGGGAGAAACAAGCTTGACCACCGCATTATCCTCAAGTTTCTGCTGACCACTGAGTTGGCCACAAAGAAGACAGAGGACAACAACACACTGTGTTCATTGTGGATGTCAAAGGCAGCAAGCACCAGATCAAACAGGCTGTGAAGAAGCTCTATGACATTGATGTGGCCACGGCCAGCACCCTGAATAGGCCTGATGGAGAGAAGGCTTATGTTCAACTGGCTGCTGATTATGATGCTTTGGATGTTGCCAACAAAAATGAGATCATGTGGCTGGGTGCGGTGGCTCACACCTATAATCCCAGCACTTCGGGAGGCCAAGGAGAGTGGATCACCTGAGGTCAGGAGTTGGAGACCAGCCTGGCCAACATGGCGAACCCCTGTCTCCACTAAAAATACAAAAAAAATTAGCCAGGTGTGGTGCTGTGCTCCTGTAGTTCCAGCTACGCGGGAGGCTAAAACAGAAGAATCGCTTGAACCCGGGAGGCACAGGTCGCCATGAGCTGAGATCGCACCACTGCTCTCCAGCATGGGCCATAGAGCGAAACTCTGTCTCAAAAAAAAAAAAAAAAAAAGGCCAGGCGCAGTGGCTCATGCCTGAAATCCCAACACTTTGGGAGGCCAAGGTGGGCGGATCGCCTGAAGTCAGGGGTTCGAGACCAACCTGACCAACATGGAGAAACCCCATCTCTACTAAAAATACAAAATTAGCTGGGCATGGTGGCACATGCCTTGTAATCCCAGCTACTCAGGAGGCTGAGGCAGGAGAATCACTTGAACTCGGGAGGAGGAGGTTGCGGTGAGCCAAGATTTCGCCATTGCACTCCAGTCTGGGCGACAAGAGTCCATGAAACTCCATCTCAAAAAAAAACAAAAACGGGATCATCTAAACTGAGTCTGGCTGGCTAATTCTAAATATATATATATCTTTTCACCAGAAAAGAAAAAAAACTAAAAGTAGGAAAGTTTTGAACTAAGTTAAGATGGAGAAAACTTTCATATATATTTTATTTTGTATTTTATTTATGTACAGAATATATCTGAAATATATATTGTCCACATACCAGAATAAATATCTTTTGTTCTATACTAATCTCATTTAATATTTCTTTACAAATAAATAATCCTTTATATTTTGTTTCCCAATTTTAATAAATCTCTCTGCCTTTGCCATCAGTGCCTCTTCATTCCACTGGAGTCTTCCTTGGCACAGATTTTCAAGCATATGGAAACTTTTTTTTTTTTTTTGAGATGAAGTTTCACTCTGGCTAATTTTGTATTTTTAGTAAAGATGGGGTTTCTCCACTTTGGTCAGGCTGGTCTCAAACACCCAACCTCAGGTGATCCACCTGCCTCGGCCTCCCAAAGTGCTAGGATTACAGGCATAAGCCACTGCGCCCGGCCCAAGCATATGAAATGTAACAAGGGTCAACATAAAGTGCAACATGTAGAATCAAAAACTGAATTCCAAATACAGAGTTTGTCCTCGGTGCCTATAAAATGCATGATGGTTTTAGTGGGCCACATGAGGGGACATCAAAAACTTTCTAACTATTCTCAACACACACACACAAACACACACACAAAGAAAGAAAGAAAGAAAATGGCCAGGCGTGGTGGATCATGCTTGTAATCCCAGCATTTTGGGAGGCCAAGGCAGGCAGATTGCTTGAGCCCAGAAGTTCAAGACCAGCATGGGCAACATAGTGAGACTTCATCTCTACAAAATATTTAAAAATTATCCAGCCATGATGCACACACCTGTAGTCCCAACTACTCAGGAGGCTGAGGTGGGAGGATCCCTTGAGACCAGGAGGTCAAGGCTGAAGTGAGCTATGATTGTACCACTGCACTCCAGCCTGGGCAACAGAGTAAGACCCTGTTGAAAGAAAAAAAAGAAAAAAGAGAGAAGGGGAAGAGGAAAGAAACAGAAAGAAAAGAAGAGAAGTGAAGGGAAGGGAAAGGAAGGGAAAGAAAAAAGAAAAAAAAGAGGAAGGGAGGCAGGGAGGAAGGAAGGAGGAAGGAAAGAAGGAAGGGAGGGAGGGAGGAAGGAAGGAAGGAAGAGGGGAAGGAGGGAGGGAGATGGAAATGATGTGAGGTGATGGATATGTTAATTAGCTTGATTGTAGTGATTATTTCACAGTCTAACGTACATCAAAACATTAAGTCAGCCAGGCACAGTGGCTCACGTCTGTAACCCTAGCACTTTGGGAGGCCGAGGCAGGTGGATCACAGATCAGGTGTTCAAGACCAGTCTGGCCAAGATGGTGAAACCCCGTCTCTACTAAAAATACAAAAATTGGCCAGGCGCAGTGACAAGCACCTGTAATCTTGGCTACTTGGGAGGCTGAGACAGAAGAATCGCTTAAACCTGGAGGCCGGAGGTTGCAGTGAGCTGAGATCGTGCCACTGCACTCCAGCCTGGGTGACAGAGTGAGACTCCACCTCAAAAAAAAAAATGAAGTCATATACCTTAAATATATAGGTTTTTATTTCCTGGGTGAAGATAGGGAGCAGGGAGAACTTTCTAACTAAAAGCAGGGAGCAGTGTGGGGTGTGGGGCTTTGGAGTCAGACGGATGCCACTGACCTTGCTATGTGCTTGGTTTCTCTAAGCCTCAGTTTCCTCATCTGAAAAATGGGGAAATAACCCCTGCCCAGCATCAGGCCTACTGGCACTCAGTGCCTTATGCTACTCTTGATTGTTTAGGACTGGGAAATATTCAAACACAGACCAACCACTTGACAGGGATCTTGTAACTGTTAGAATTGGATTAGGATTACGTGTAGCTGCATGTAATAGAAAACCAAAAATAATCATTTGGGCACATATAGTGTTATTTTCCCTCACATAAAGGAATTCGAGAGGTTGGCGATAGTTTGGTCTGGTGGCTGCCAGACAGCTCCAACCATGGGACCCAGGGTCCTTCCATCCTTGCTGGGTCCACCCTCTTAGTGTGTGCCTTCCACCCTCAAGATTACCAAGAGGGTTGCTGGACCAATCCTCTTGCTGGACCAAGAGGGTTGCTGTTGCTCCAGCCTTCACATTCCTGATAGGGAGAAGATCAAAAAGATGTTAAACACTTTGAAGGATTCTTTCTGAAGTTCCACTCAATACTTTCTGCTTACTTCTCAATGGCCAGAACATGGTCACATGTTCTTACCTACCTGCAAAGGAGGCTGGGAAGTGTGTTCTTTTAGCTAAGACATAGCGGTTCTCAATAAAATCAGAGTCCTGACACTAAGTGTCAAAAGACAAAATTACAACAAGTTTACTTTAAAGCTGTCAGTTGGCTTTGTGATTCTAGAATCAGGCAACACTTGATTTCCTAAAATAGAATAAGGGTTCCAATGAATCAAGCAGTAAAAGTTGGCTTTACAGACAGGAAGAGGGTGGAAAAAAGCAGAAACTAAAAAACAAAAACCAGGCTAGGTGCAGTGGCTCACACCTGTAATCCCAGCACTCTGGGAGGTGAGAGGTTCACTTGAGCCCAGGAGTTAGAAACCAAGTTGGGCAACATGGCGAAGCCCCATCTCTACAAAGAATTTTTAAAATAGCCGGACGTGTCGGCATGTACCTGTAGTCCCAGCTACTCAGGAGGCTGAGGTTGGAGGAGTGATTGAGCCCAGGAGTTCAAGACAGAAGAAAAAAAACAAAATAAAACAGAGGGAACTTCACTATCATGCCACTTGAAGATTGAAACTGGCCTGTTTCTGTAATGTCACCACTTTGGGAGGCTGAGGAGGGCAGATTCCTTGAGCTCAGGAATTCAGGACCAGCCTGGGCAACATGGTGAAATTCCATCTTTACAAAAAGTAAAAACAAAATTAACCAGGTGTGCTAGAGTGTGCCTGTATTCCCAGCTACTTGGGAGGCTGAAGTAAGAGAATTGTTTCAGCTCAGAGTTGCCATCACACACTGAACTCCAGCCAAGGCCACAGAGCAAGATGCTGTCTCAAAAAAATACCCGGCGAGATGGCTCACATCTGTAATCCCAGCACTTTGGGAGGCTGAGATGGGTGGATCACCTGAGGCCAGGAGTTCGAGACTAGCCTGAGCTGAGGCATGAGAATAGCTTGAACCCGGGAGGCAGAGGTTGCAGTGAGCCGAGATTACGCCACTGCACTCCAACCTAGGCAACAGAGCAAGACTCTATCTCAAAAAAAGAAACCGGCCCATTTGGGAAACTGGCAATCATCTCTGTCTCCCGGTGATTTGGAACCTCAGTGTGAGTGACCCCATCTTGACGTTTAGTCCAGTCTGCTGGGGCCTGGTGCAGGAGCCTCATCCGAAGCAGTAGCCTCCTATAATTTCTATTTAGCAATTGTCTGACACTAAGGAAGAAGGTCATCTGGGATGGGCAGCCATCATTCTCTCTAGGACTCCTTCACAAGCTACAGGCTGTACTCATTGGCCCCTCACACTCCAACAAGCCTGGGTTTGCCCTGTGACCTCTGAGGTGGCGGCAGGGTATCTGCGGTGAAAATAAACACTCAGTGAGCGAGGAGCCTGGTGTCAGAAGTGCAGCCAGCCTCAGAGGGTTAAGGTGGAGGCCGGCTGGGCTGAGTCAGTAAAAGGAGTCTGAAGGGAAGGCCTGATCCCAGAGCAGTGGAGGACGGAGGGAGCCAGCCAGGAGAGGCAGCAGGAGAGAGGACAAGGGCAGAGAGTTTCAGGGAGGGGAATTTTCCATACACGTATGACCATGCTGCTGATGGTACAGCTCAGCGCTGACAGCAGCTGTCACCTGCTGGTGTGGTGGAACCGGTTCTAATGGGAGGCCTCTGTCTGCATCAGCCAGCATCATTACCATGCCAGTCATTAGATATGTCTTTTTTCTTTTTTTTTTTTTTTTGACGGAGTCTCGCTCTGCCGGGTGGAGCGCAGTGCCGAATCTCAGCTCACTGCAGCTCCGCTCCGGTTTACGCCATTCTCCTGCCTCAGCCTCCTGTGTAGCTGGACTACAGGCCCGCCACCTCGCCGGCTAGTTTTTTGTACTTTTTAGTAGAGACGGGTTTCACCGTGTTCGCCAATGTCTCGATCTCTGACCTCGTGATCCGCCGTCTCGGCTCCAAGTGCTGGATTACGCTTGAGCCACCGCCCCCGATATGTCTTTTTTCTTTTTTAAGGCACAGGATCTCGCTCCGTCACCTGGGCTGGGATGCAATGATGTGATCATAGCCCACTGTAGCCTTGAACTCTTGAGCTCAAGAAATCCTCCTCCTGGGTCTCAGCCTTCCCGGTAGCTGGGACTACAGGTATGCACCACCATGCCCAGCTAATTTTTGTTTTATTTTTTGTACAGACAGGGTCATACTACTTTGCCCAGGCTGGTCTTGAACTCCGGGGCTCGAGCAATCCTCCCACCTTGGCCTTCCAAAGTTCTGGGTTACAGGTATGAGCCACCATGCCCAGCCCCTCATTGAACATTTTTAATATGCCTCCTGGGTAAGAGAGAGTGCTGGAAAGCTTAGTATTGAAGCCAGACAGGGTTCAAATCCCAGATTCAGCTCTTATTAGTAGTGTGGCTTTGAGTAAGTCACTTATTCTCTGTGAGGCTCAGCGTGCCTGTGTGTAAACTGGTATACTAGTAGAACGGTACCTACCCAGAGTTGACGGATGATGGGAAGGATGCTACGCACCTTTTCCTGCCCACAAGCTGTCACTAAATGTCAACCGATAACCCCTGGAGAAGCACACACACAACAGACTGAGTCTTCCTCTCCAACCATCTTCTTAATATAGGTTTTTGTTTTTTTTTTTTGAGATGGAGTTTCGTCCTTGTTGCCCAGGCTGAAGTGCAATGGTGCGACCTCGGCTCACCACAACCTCTGCTTCCCGGGTTCAAGCGATTCTCCTGCCTCAGCCTCCCAAGTAGCTGGGATTACAGGCACACACCACCACGCCCGGCTAACTTTGTATTGTTAGTAGAGACGGGGTTTCTCCATGTGGTCAGGCTAGTCTGGAACTCCTGACCTCAGATGATCCGCCCGCCTCAGACTCCCAAAGTGCTGTTATTACAGCGTGAGCCACCGTGCCTAGCTAAGCACAAGTAGGTGTATCGAACTCCTGACCTCAGGTGATTCCCCGACCTCAGCCTCCCAGAGTGCTGGGATTACAGGAGTGAGCCACCATGCTCAGCCTAAATTGGGGTCTTGAGACACCAGTATAGACAGAGAGGTGCCGGGAGGGGTCCCTTATAAACACTGTTCTAAATCAACATCTGCATCCCTTCTCATTTGTCAAAGTCACAACTCTCACTCCTGTGGCCCTGTGGCTGTACTTGCCCCTGTACACAAGCCTCCAGCCCTTTCCAGAACATTTGTCATTTTTTCCCTATGTACCGGCAAAGTTGGCAACAAACTGTCCCGTAGACTTAGCCCACCTGGAAGGCTGCTCCAGAAGCTCAAGACCCTTGCTTTACGGGTACCTGTGACATCACCAGTGGCCACAGTCCCTTGTGACCTCACCACTTGGACAACTCAGCCCAGCTGGGTTGCAGCCACTCCCTCCAACTGCCACAAATAGCAAAGGGCATAGATGACCCCAGGAGAGCCCTCGGGAGAGGCCGGCTCCACCAGCAGCCCCACACATGGCACTCCCGGGTCCCCCCTGGGCAGCGTGGCTGACAGCGTGTCTAAGGACAGCACAGCAGGAGGGCCCCAAGGTCAGGTCCCACTCACAACAGATGTCTTGGCGGTGAGCAGCTCTGCCGCATCCACCGACCAGCAGGATATAGATCAGGCCTCCCTCAAGACGGCCACCCCCGAGGCCATGTCAACATCTGGAGACAAAGACAAGGGTGCAGTTGTTCCAGAACATGGCCAGAAGACACCTGGAAAAATCACACCTCTGCTTCCCAGCCAAAACCCAAGTCCCCTGCAAACATCTATGAGCCTTGAGAATCCAACGTGGGACAGGCAGGTTCAAGACACAAGGACAAGTCAGAGTCTAGTGGTTTTCCCAAGTCACCTCTTGGGTAAGGACAAGACGTCACAAATGGCGAGTGTTCCTGAGAGAGAGCCGGAGTCAGCCCCCTTGGCCCCCAGTGCCGAGCCACAGTTCACCCAGCACACGGAGGCTCAGCCCGTCGGGAGTGATGCTGACCACGTCACCGCAGGTGTCAATGGCCAGCATGGCCCTCAGGCTGCCAGCACCACCAAGGCTGCTGAGGAGAAAGCTGAGCATCCAAAGGCCCCATACCCTGAAGCTGAAGCTTTGCCATCTGATGAGTCCCCAGTGGCAATGGGGGCAAATGTGGTGGATGGCTTAGGAGACCTGCAGGCTTGGTTCTTCCCTCCACCTCCAGTAGGCAGTGTGTCCCCGTCACCTGGCCCCCACGAGGTGGCCCTGGGGAGGAGGCCCCTGGACCCCAGCCTGTACATGGCCAATGAGGAGAATGGCTACATGTGCTCCATGACCAGTCTGCTGGGCAGGGGCGAGGGCTCCATCAGCTCCCTGGCAGACATCCTGGTGTGGTCCGAGACCACCATGGGCATGGCCATAGCCACAGGCTTCCTGGACTCCGGCCACAGCACCGTGGCAGATCTGCTGCACAGCTCGGGGCCCAGATTGCGCCCGGTCCCCAGCCTGCTGGGAAGCGTCAGCTCAGCCTTCTCCTCCGGGCTGATGTCAGGGACTGGCTCAGCCCTGCGCACCCTCACCCATGTGCTGGAGACAGTGGAGCAGAGGACGGTGGAGGGCATCCGCTCGGCCGTGCGCTACCTGACCAGCCACCTCACCCCACGCCGGTTCCAGGCTGACCCCAACTATGATTAGATCCCTGCACAGGGACCCCCGAAGCCCTGGCTCAGTGACCTCCAGAGATCCCTGGGACCCTCACACCCTGCTCCCTTGCCCATTCTTGCTCTGGACGGTTCCCCCAGCCCATGCAATAAATCACCAGCGAGCGTTTATTTCTAAGCACCAGCCTCCTCCCTTGGGATGCAGTGAGCAACAAAACAGTGACAGGACAGGAGGGCTCAGGGTGTGGTGGAAACAATGTCTCCTGAGGGTTTCTCAGGCTGTCCCATTCAGGGGCTGGGGGCAAATGTGCAGACACAGAAGAGCCTGGGCAGAGCTGGGGGCAGTGTGGTAGGGGGTATCTCAGACCTGCAAAAACCCATCCCCACTGAACCTCCACCCAGGTAAGCTCTGAGGAGCCTTCCCTGGGGCCTAGGCTGGCCCAGCAGGCTCAGGCTGAGAGGCACAAGAGGCTGTACCATTGACAGTGCTGAGTCAAGCCATGTGGGTTCAAACCCCAGCGCCAGCACTTGCCCTGGGCGAATCACGTCACTCTCAGCCTACTTAGCTGTAGAAAGGAGAGAATAAATCCATACCGTGACGCTGTTATAAGACAGAAGGGAAGCGATGCAGGCCATAATGCATGGTGTCTGGCACTTGATAAGCCCACACATGGTGGCTGCCATTATCATTATCCTCCGATGAGCTGGGGGTGCAGGGGGAGCAGGAGTCTAAGCAAACCGACTGTCCCGGTTTGCCTCGGACTAAGGGGGTTTCTGGGTTGTAGGACTTTCATATTTAAAACTGGAAAACCCCAGGAAAACTAGGATGAGTTGCTCACCTTAGATCCAGGTCTCTTTACATGGTGGTTACTCTTGTCTGTGAAGATATGCATCTGGGAAAGCATTAGCAAGGCCCAGCCTTGAGTGCAGCGATGGTGCAGCCATCTGCTTCGGAAGCCGTTAGCCCACCCTCTGGCTAGACCCTGTGCAGCACCCGGTGGTGTGACCTGGTGAGTGATGCCCCAGCTGGATGTCCGCTCCGGCCCCACCCTTAGCCGAGTGCCCTCAGCAGCTCTCACCCGCACGCTTTCATGTGCGGCCCTGGCCACGGATGGTTCACTCGTCCTTCCTGGTTCCCAGCAGAGTCTCCAAATGGGAGCCCTGGGGCCGCAGCCAGCCGACTGATGGGTTGTTTGACCTACATAGTGCTTCTCCAATTGTAAACTAATCGCTAGCATTTAAAAAATAGATCTTACAGCCGGGTGGAGTGGCTCATATCTGCACTTTGGGAGGCCGAAGTGGGTGGATCACTTGAGCTCAGGAGTTCGAGACCAGCCTGGCCAACGTGGTGAAACCTGGTCTCTACTAAAAATACAAAAAAATTAACTGGACATAGTGGTGCAGGCCTGTAATCCCAACTACTCAGGAGGCTGAGGCAGGAGAATTGCTTGAACCTGGGAGGCAGAGGTTGCAGTGAACCAAGATCACACCACTGCACTCCAGCCTGGGTGACAAGAGCAAGACTCCATCTCAAAAAAAAAAAGATTTTGCGTTAAAATCTGGATTTCTGCTTCTCTGGGAAAATCTAGGGCCCTCATTTCTTCAGGACCCCAGGCAGCAAAACTGCCTGCTTTAGGGTGTATGTGCTCACTGTCCACCACAGCACACCTGGCATGCATCAGGGACCCATGTCACCAGCCCCGCCCCGCGCTGCAGAAGGCTCACATGAGGAAGGGTGATGCCAGGCCCCAAGGTAGATACAAAGATGAGCCCAGTGTGCATACCTGCTTCCTCCAGGAGCTGCCACTTTCTTTTTTTCTTTTTTTGAATGCAGTCTCGCTCTGTCACCCAGGCTGGAGTGCAGTGGGACACCATCTCGGCTCACTGCAGCCTACATCTCCCAGGTTCAAGCAATTCTTCTGCTTCAGCCTCCTGAGTAGCTGGGATTACAGGTGCCCAGTACCATGCCCAGCTAAGGTTTTGTATTTTTTAGCAGAGATGGGGTTTCCCCATATTGGCCAGGCTGGTCTTGAACTCTTAACCTCAGGTGATCCGCCCACCTTGGTCTCTCAAAGTGCTGGGATTAAGGGCATGAGCCACCTTGCCCGGCCCAGGAGCTGCCACTTTCTGTAGGTGCAACGGGAACTGTCCCCACGTCATGAAAGCAACTAATTCAGAGGAGTGAGATTGTAGATTTAGATCCCAGTAATCAGGGGATTCTCAAAGAACCAATTAAACCAGTCCCTAAAAGAGAGAAGGAGGATGCCTCCTAGACAGACGTAATAAGAACAAAAGCCGAGGCAGGCATGGTGGGGGTGCTGGGGGGTGGTTGTGAGCAACTAGGGCCCACTGCAGAGGGCAATCTAGTTGCCAGGGTGACCTCAAAATGTGCTCATTCATGCTTTCTTTCTTTTTTTTTTTTTTTTTTGAGATGTATTCTCACTCTGTCACCCAGGCTGGAGTGCAATCTCGGCTCACTGCAATCTCTGCCTCCTGGTTCAAGTGATTCTCCTGCCTCAGCCTCCCAAGTAGCTGGGATTACAGGCATGCACCACCATGCCCGGCTAATTTTTGTATTTTAGGAGAGACGGGGTTTTGCCATGTTGGCAAGGCTGGTCTCATACCCCTGACCTCAGGTGATCTGCCCGCCTCAGACTCCCAAAGTGCTGGGATTACAGGCATGAGCCACCATGCCCGGTCTCACTCATGCTTTCAATAAAAAATTTTTTTTTTTAGATGGAGTCTTGCTCTGTCACCCAGGCTGGAATGCAGTGGCGCAATCTCGACTCGCTGCAACCTCCGCCTCCTGGGTTCAAGCAATTCTCCTGTCTCAGCCTCCTGAGTAGCTGGGATTACAGGCACGCACCACCATGCGCAGCTAATTTTTGTATTTTTAGTACAGTTGGGGTTTCACCATGTTGGCCACACTGGTCTCGAACTCCTGACCTCAGGCAATCCTCCCTCCTTAGTCTCCCAAAATGCTGGGATTACAGGCGTGAGCCACCGTGCCCGG